TTAGTCTACGTGACAACGCATCAGCCAAAGCATTTTGCTTTCCCGGCTTAAACTTCACCTCGATGTTATATTCCGCAGAAAAGGATAGCCATCTAGCCATCCTCTGCGAGAGGTGGCCGACTGAGTCGCAGTGCGTAGTGACGCATGATCTGTATAGATCACAAACAGCTGGATCCGAGCAGGTGGACCCATAACTTGACAAGTGCATACTGCACCGCAAATAGCTCCTTGTCATGAACTGATTAGCTCTCCTCTGCAGTTTTGAGCTGTCGAGATTCGAACGCGATCATCCGATCTCGCCCCTCGACGTCTGCTTGCAGCAGTGCGCAGCCGATGGCAAAGTCCGACTACTCAGTCAATGCCTGGTGGTAACTCATGACAAATACCTCATCTTTAGATAATTGCACGAGGCGGATGATACTCACATGGTTGATTGGGTCGCTACGGAAGAGACAATGTATATTGTTCGGTAAGCGCTTTAAATTCATGGCCAAGAATATATAAGTGAGCAAGCACGTACGTGAGCACGTGCGAGAGTTTCAATCAATTGCGCTCTCACCGCAGGCATCAGCGCATTTTACAAGCCTGCTGTTTTTGACAAATTTTTGGCGAGTAACTGGTTTTGGTCCTGTAAACGCGCTCAGTAATTCCGAATTTTGAATTTGTTACTGTCCCAGCAAGGTTACTCATTTCTTTGTTTCAGCCACAAAATTACTTGCGAGGATAAAGTCGAAATGATTCTCGACAATTTTTTGTCCTTCCTACTACCAGCGAGTATACATCCAAGGTTTTTCTCCACAAACGTTATCTCCAGAAGCGTTATGCGGTTGTCATTGTTATGGATCGAGCTTCTCAATATCCCGCGAATTTGGAAAGCTGTATGATTTTTGCTAGGTATGTGTATTTCAGTGGCCATATGAATACTGGTAGTCAAGGCGAATGCGTAAAACGCGTGACAGAAGATATTTGTAAAATCGCAATTTGTAGAGAGACCGCGGTGCGGAGGCGAGCATTGAATGCTAATTGTGTTTGAGTTACATACCTCTAGAGGCTTAATTTTGTTATTAACTCACACTGGTTTTCTTAACACCACCACAAAACGGCTTCGGTTATGGTGGGGAGGGCTATTGGTAATTCCTGATTTGTTGGTATCATGCCAGTACTATTCCGTAGCGTAAACAACAATTTTTACTACTGAAACTGAGCGCCATGAACCAAGTACCCGACACTATGTCTGAGGGCAAGATATGGTCAGATGGTACAGATTTGAACGGGACCTGCATGAGTATTTATAGCTTAATATTTGTAAATGCTGACCTCCTTATTTCCAGTCTAAAAGATGACTTCGTTACATTGGGCCGTTGGTGGTGGTAACCCGGTGGGGATCGAGCAACGTGTCGTCCGAATCAGCAAGATGGCTCGTAGTGCGCCTGTTCGGATAAGATATGTGCCGACAAAGTGGCTAAGGTCTTCATAGATGTTATCATGGCCTATCTTTTAAGATGGTTACTGACCGTGGCACCCAGTCTATGTTATGGCGTGATTTGTTTGAACTACTGGGCACCAAATTGTCAACAGTGGCACACCCTGCAACGAACGGTCAAACTGAACGTGTGAACGGACTTCTGGAGAATTTACTACGTAGGTACGCAATGCCATTCAAAGTCTGGTGAGAATAATTCTCTCTCGCAGAGATTGCGTTAAAAACTCCACGCATGTCCTCACAGGTCACTCGCAATTCATTGTGAGCTAATGGAATTCATCCTGAAATACCTGCCTCCATAATGGAGAGGGGACTATGGCTACATATCCACAGTGAGGCCTAAATGCTGACGTAGAATTAAAATCAAATTTTGACTCTCAGTTTTACCCAATAAGCAATGTAATACATTGGTTATTGGGTAGAAATAAAAAATATTAAGTCTGACATTATGATGCTGAGGAATTTGCGCAGCTACTATTTCAAAATATCCAATGATGATACAGCAAGTGTTTTGTCTACAATATTATCTGCATTCCGATTAGAACCAAATGACAGTTGCTATATCAGGAGTGATTGTTATAAGCCTCCGATGGTGCGTAGCTGCTATTTCAATGTTTAGAATTCCTCGGCATTTATGAAAAGAAAAATCAAATTATCATTCCAGGCTTTTAGTTATATTTTACAGCAAATGTAGTCGTTCGTATTCGTTTTCGATCGTCAAAGTTGCGCCAGACCACTATTAAATTTAAGAGTTAGAATTGAGTGAATGAGTAAAGCGTACTACTCCCCATTACGGAAATGTGGCATTCAAATATGCAAATATGATTATGGAAATGTAGCATTCAAGTATGCTGGTCTTCGTATTGTGAATGAGGTTGCCAAAAGAGATTAACTTTTGGCACCGTTACCGACGACGGAAGAGCTGGTACAGCTCGAGAAAGTTACTTACGAGGACTCCCAACACGACCTCAAGTGTGACGGTTTGCATAGAACCAATTTGCTACAGTCAGAGGTCTATCCATTGGAATTGCGCTCATCATCCGTCATGTATAATTCGATTCTCGAAGAAATTTGACAGCGTGTAGAATCACGCAGCGGATCTGCTATTTTGAAGAATCCAACTTATCCTTATTATTGACCAGTGGAATTCTAGGATGACGTCCCTATTGAAAGTCGCCACAAAGTGGAATTCCACAAAATGATCAAGTTCAAAGCATGCAGTGGTCACTGTCTCATGAACAAAGCGAGTATATGGATGTGTTGGTGGACTAAAAGCAAGCTGCTGGTTTAGTAAGGGATAAAAAGTCCCCTCATTGCGCATCGACATTTTGTGTGCACAAATTGAATGTTAACTGGCGTATCGCTCACGCCTAGAACAAGATGAAAGCGCAGATAATTCCCGCTCAAACGTCGATTCTGCGTAAGAATGTTATCATCCAGGGTATGTCTGGCTGTAAACAATTTACGTTACTTGTTTGGATTGATGGAGATTACCAAATGAGGAGGACGATCGTTGACGGCTGTTTTGTAACCGTCGGTTTGTTATGGGAATGGCTTGCAATGCCACAAGGACTATCCAATGCCCCAGCATGATCAATCAATTGGTGTTTCGTCTGTTTAGATCACTGCGACGCTTCGTACACATCTATTTTGACGATATTGTCGTTCATTCGAAAGACAAAAATGGCAGATCTGCCAAAGAATTGCATTTAGAGTACCTCCGAATGGTGCTAGAATGTATGCGCGAATATTCATTGCAAGTGAACCTTGCAGAGTGTATTTTCGCTGCTAGCAAAGTACCGATCTTCGGTTGTCATGTTGGTGATAACTGTGTTTGTGCGGATCCTGTGAAATTCAACGCAATCGTGGAGTGGTCAACGCCACAGAATCAATAGGATTTGAGAAAATGGATTGTTCTGTCCACTTACCTGCATTGCTTCTCATGTAACCTTTCCCAAATGGTGCGCTTACAATCAAACTTGCTAGAGAAGGACGAACCATGGAAGTGGTCATTTACTCGCAAAAAATCATTCACTCTGATCAATAGCAATATGATGAACGCATCATTACTTGCTCTACCAGATAATGCGAAGCCGTATAGCGTGGTGTGGGACGCCTAAGAGTCTGCACTCGGTTGTGCATTTTTGCAATAGAACTCAGTAGGACAAGATCTTGGCGTGTCGTATTAATCGTGACAGATCAATCCAGCAGAAAGATTTTCCCTGTCCAAGACAAGGACTTCTGGCAATGTAATTGCTCTGATGAAGTTTTGTATTCACCTCTTGGCCTCTTGGGTTCAACTCAGTTTACACAGATCCCTCACTTGTCACAGCGATTGGCTTGCTGGTTATCATTTTCAGCAGAATACAACTTTACGGTCGCGTACAAGCCAGGAATACTGAACAAGCTGGCGGGCGCATTGTCACATCGTCCTGGTTATGAGCTAGCCATATAAGCTATATCGTAAACAATGTAATTGATATGATACGTCGAGCGTATGTTGATCTAATCATAATACCCTCATAAAGTGGTATAAAACGCCATGGCTTCCTAATCACTTGAAGCCATGGATGCATCGTTTTGCATTGAAGGATGGTATCCTATGCTATGGAGCTGCATATGGCACAAGCCACGGAATGTGGATCGACACGTATATCGTATACG